GTCAGTCATCGGTGACTGACGTGGTTTTCGAAGAAAATAGTGTCAGTCATCGGTGACTGACGTGGTTTTCGAAGAAAATACTGTCAGTCACCGATGACTGACGCGGTTTTAAGAGAAAATACTGTCAGTCACCGATGACTGACGCGGTTTTAAGAGAAAATAGTGTCAGTCATCGATGACTGACGCGGTTTTAAGAGAAAATAGCGTCAGTCATCGGTGACTGACGCGGTTTAAGGAGAAAATAACGTCAGTCAGCGATGACTGACGCTGTTTAAGGGGAAAATACTGTCAGTCATATGTGACTGACGCGGTTTTCGGAGAAAATAATGTCAGTCAGCGATGACTGACGCGGTTTAAGGAGAAAATAACGTCAGGCACAGATGACTGACGCGTTTTAAGGGGGAAATCTGGCGTCAGTCATCGATGGCTGATAGTGTATAACACGATATTATTAAGTGACACATGTAGCCTGACGGGGACTTCCTTGAAAATCAGCATGGCGTTCAACGTGTTAAATATTTCCCTTTWGATATCTGAAAAGCAAATAAATAATCGAACTTTAGAATCGTYAAATACAAATTTGCGGTGTATCTTTAAAATTTAATTGGTGTAGAGAATAAAAAATGTTATGCAATGATTTGATTAAAAATTTAGGAAAATGGAAAAAGATAATTAGATGATAATCTTGATCAAGAGGATGATGATGATGATGATGATGGTCTCTTTCTCTGTTGGTACGTAGAGTGGTACGGCGATTTCATCCTTTCTTCCCACCATTAACCAGAGAACCACCAGGGCCTGCCAACCTACACTCTCGTTCCCTCTCTCTTTGCCAATGTGTAGGATCGCGCGCGCGCGCACACACCCACCCGTAACCTCCCACCTTCTTTCTTCTCCCACTTTCAGCGAGCAACCACCCACCATGGAACGTTCCCAACGTTCCATCCTTTCCCTTCTAACCCTTCCATTCCTCTATTCTTCCCTATAGTCCTCCCTATAATCCTCCTCTTCCCTCTCTCTTTCTCTCATTCGTTGCAACTACTGCGAACTTTGTCTCTCACACACACTTCCATTGAATGAGTGGGTAAGAGAGAGAGAGAGAGAGAGAGAGAGAGAGAGAGAGAGAAAGAGAGAGAGAGGTGGTGTAGGCGCCACGAATTCGCCTCTCGGTGTTCTCTCTTCGGAACTTCGGCTACGTTCGGTCAGTTCCGGCCGGCGGTCAGAAGAATTTGTCAGTATACGCCGTGCCGTCTTGCCGGCAACACTTATTCTTATCGGTGTGATAGTTCTACGAATTACCAATCATTTATCTTTATTTTTTTTATTCCAAAAATATCCACTTATTTCTATTATACACTTTTCAATAATTCAGGTAAATTTAGAACAATTTTTTCTACCTTTATTATAAATATATACATTGCTTGTAATTTCGTATGTGAGAGAGAGAGAGAGAAGGAGAGAGAAAATCGATGATAGAAAATCGTCATCGCATTGACTTGGTGAACTTTCTCGAGGCTTCATTGTATCGAAATACCAAACGAAAACTACACTAAAGTAGCATTTAAATTTTCCCGCCGAAAGTGTTTAAACTTTGAATTCGTGTGTACTTTATTTAAATATCAATGGTACTTGAAATTTTTTACTGTGTAAAAATGACGAATATAATTTTATCATTGTGAAGGAGAGAGAAAAAGAGAGAGAGAGAGATTAGGAAAATAGGAATAAGAAGAGGAATATAGGAATATGAGAGGTAGAAAAGGATACATCATTAATTGTCGAGGTCAAAGAGAAGATTTTTTATCAGGTATTTCCTTGCTAGTAGTTGCTAAACTGTGTGGACCAATTTCTCTATCAAAACATGACCACGTGACGATCGAGTACGACGGGCGGCACGGGCTTGTAAACATTGAGTTTGACCACGTGGTTTGCCCCTTCTTCTTCTTCCTACAATCTTCTATCTTTCTCTCGATTTCTCTCTCTTTCCCTCCCATCCAACCCACCCATCCACCCTCCCTTCCTCACTCAAGTTCCCGCGCGTTCAATGCGCACACACCAATGTACCCTCACTTCCCTCACACACATACACACACAAATGTATAAACGACGTGTCGTAGCGTCGTTTCTTCTCTCTCTCTCTCTCTCTCTCTCTCTCTCTCTCTCTTTCTCTCTCTTTCGTGTCGACGACGAAGAGAAACGCGGAGAGCGCAGTGTTCCACAGTGTATTCTCGCTCGATTGGCCGCCCAGTCGTCGTGGTCGAGTCGATCCATCGTCGCGCTCGATTTTCTTCGCGATCTCTCGTTCCCCCCACTTGTTCTCTTTTTCACATACACACACATATATATATATATATACTANATATATATATATATATACTATCTATCTCTATCGCTTTTCTCTCTCTCTCTCTCTCTCTCTCTCTCTCTCTCTTCCTTTTCCACAACTCGTTGGTGGGCAGGGTGTACAAGTGGAACACGCAAGTTCAACACGCACTCGTTCCTTATCTTCGATACACTCCGCGTGCGTTCTCCTCTCCAATAGTTCGGAATTATTTTATATTTAAAAAAATATTCCAATGGTTTATTTTGTCTCTAAAATATGAATTATAATCAACTAAATAAAGATATTCAAGTAATTATATCGAAGAATTTACAAGAAGACTAACGTTAGTTTCTCTATTTTCTCTTTGGTTTTATTCAAGGTTGAGAATACTATATAAAGAAGAAGAAGAAGAAGAAGACGAAGAAGAAGAAGAAGAAGATTATAGATAGGACAAAGAGTTTGAAACGTATAGAAGAAGAAGGAGAAGGATTAGGAGTAAGAGTAGGAGGAAGAAGATCAAGCCCTTGTGTCGATGCGCGCGAGCGCAAGCGCGCTCATTTCTTAAAGGTCGACGACTGTATATACGGGGGACTACTTACTACCGGTTACTTTTCTTGCCCGCGAAACATGCACGCGGTCAAAGTGGAATACACAGAAGAGGCCAACATGATGGACTCGGTCCCAACGGTATCATCCTCTTCGAGTACAACGACCGCATCTCAACAGCAACAGCAACAGCAACAGGGAATACCGTTTGACGAGAACAGTTTTGAACCACAAACGAGGGCAAGATCAAACACGTGGCCATTACCAAGGCCTGAAGGATACGTCGAAGGTAATGTTGGAGTCGTCGTAGGTGGTGCTGGTGCTAGTGGTGCTTGTGGTACTGGTGCACAAACTGGAAATGACATTGGCGGGGAATCTGGTACACCACCTCAACAAAGTAACCTAGGACAAGGTGCTACTAGTGCTGCTTTATTTCCTGTTAAGAAGAATTCATCGAGAAGAAATGCATGGGGTAATCTAAGCTATGCCGATCTGATCACTCAAGCGATCACCAGTGCACCCGAACAAAGGCTCACTTTATCCCAGATTTACGAATGGATGGTCCAGAACGTTCACTATTTCAAAGACAAGGGTGATAGTAATAGTAGCGCCGGTTGGAAGGTAAGTTTACATCTTCATTAATATCTTTACAATACCAATTCTACGTACATGCGATTGATCAGAGTCTCCCGATCGATTCAAAATGTAGGAAAATGTTGATAATGTTGATGATAAATAAAAATAATAATCGTAGTATGTAGTGTTCCGTAGGATCGAAAAACGGATCGATCGGCTTCTTTTTTTTCTTTTTATATCCTTATCTATCTTACCTATAATTCATCTATTTATTTATCTACAAATCTACCTATCTCTCTCTCCTTTTCTCATGCATATTTAATTATCGAGGAAATCGCGTTATCGCGCGGCTACGAAACAACGTAATTTATAACGTAACGTCGTATATTTCATAAGTTGGTTGGGTTTTTTTTTTCTTTTTTTTTTTTTACTTTCAAGTTTTAGATCGGTGTCTTCCGTCTTATGTAACACAATCGTGACGCGCGCTTTTGATAATATTGCATGGAGAAAAATGCATAATTGTGTTGTATGGTGAATTATGTATATATTACATATATATATAGGTTACAAACTTTTTATTGGTACAGAGAAAATTTTCCATAACGCGTTTTATTACATAAATCGACTACTTTTTAAATTACAACACAACAAGAAAAAAAAAGAAAAATTATCTATCGAGTCTAAAGTTTAATTATCATTTTATTGAAAATCATGCAAATAAAATTGGTTGGTGTTCCATAAAAAAAAAAAAAAAAAAAGAGAAAAAAAAATAGTTTTACATAGAAACTTTTGATATATTAGCAAAAAAAAAAAAAAGAAAAAAAAATTGTGTCTTTTAAATGGAAAGATTTGAATAGGAATTCGATTTGATAGGAAAATTTATTTAGCAAAATACTTTAGCATATATTAGATGTTATTTCAATAAATAATAAGCGTTTTAATTGTATACCATTGGAGTTTGATTGCAATTTTATCGATTCTTTCCTTTTTTTTTTCTGTTTTTTTTTTTTTTATTTTTCTTTTTTGTTCAGATAAAGATTGAAAGGAAATTTTTGCATGATTTAGCGGCGGCGCCTGACGACGTATTACATAGATCATCACGTTTCTTACTCGAATGTGTTTTTTTTTTATCGAGAAAAATGTGTCACTTTTATTATAATTATAATTATAATTATAATTATTATTATTTATAATATTGTCGGACGATCAATGTTTCACGTAAGTATATGCATTTAGAAATTGTTCGGTGTGCCTAACGGTTTACGACGCATCGCGAGTTATCAATGAAGTCTTCATGGAAAATAATTGCGTCTGGGAATTCAAGGATTCGCGGAAATTACTAACGATTTTTTTCCGTTTACAATTATCTTTCTATAGTTAGACATTTAATTTTCTTTCTAATACGATTAATTTGTGTTCCGCGTTATAATATTAAAACTGTTTTCAACAAAATTACAAGTAGTACTGAGTTTAAAAAAAACATCAATGATATATAAATAAAAATTCTTCGTGTTTATTATAATTGATTAAATATAAATAGGTGTCTAAATAAACAAGGGTATAAAATTGACAGAAAAATGTAAAAGCAATTAAAGAAATAGTTGATGCATGATTTTATTTTGAAAAAATAAATAATAAATGTATTATATATTGAGAAAATAATTTAATTACTGCAATGCACAAATTGTAAAATAATTGGTCAGTGTATAATATATAACGCGAATATTTTGTTCAAGTGCTTATAAATAAATCAATATAATAATATTTGCTTATTTGTGTTGATTAAAAGTTTATTGTAAAATATTGAAATAACAAATTATTATCATTGAATAATCATCACGTAAAATATTATTTTATTATAATACCTCAACACAAATCTCAACAAATTCAAAAAGTGAAATAGTTTGGATTTATAAATGTTGCGTTCTATTCGTGGTCAACAACACTTTAATTCACCTTGCCTGGAGCAAGGCTACGATTTCTTCTATGTCTCGCATAGTAAATTGTGAAAGAATCGACTCGTATAGAATCGAATCGAATCGAATCGACTTTGACTAGACGATTCGATAGAAACGTAGGGAGGGACAGCTGCCTTTACTCGTCGTACACCTTTCTCTCATAGAATTTCTCGCCCAAAGCTATTTTCTTCTATGAGTTACCTTTACCTATTAAAAGTTACAAGTGTCTACAACTATATTTTCTTCACACGCAAATTCATTTTTTTTTTAATTTTATTCAACAATTATATATATATTATTATTATTTATAGATGTTGTAAATAACTCAAATACTTTTGTCCGATACTGTACTGTATATTACATATGTATCTACGCAGATAATATTGAAATATCGGATCATAGACATTTGATAGGAAGATGATTTTCTCTCATACCATAAGAAATATGTTAATGAGATGATTTTTGTACATAAATAAAAAATAAATCTTACCCACACACATATCAGCAAATCTTCCATGATTTTCATCATGATCTTCTACGGTGATAAATGTGCATACATACATATATATACGTGTACGTATATGCATGTATCAACCTTCGATGACGTAATGGCAATACAGACGATGCTGTGTAACCGCACTCTTCACGTAATATACCCTTGACTCTTTTAATGAGTATCGCACATTCGTTACGTATGTTGCGCTTCGTATAACATATTTCAAGTTGAACTGGAAGCTTTTGCATCTTCACCATTTCAATCTTTTATTAATTTCCTATTTATATATCTCGATCATATATATATATATATATATGTATATGTATATGTTGATCATAACAAATGCAATAATAATTAACAGGTATACGATGATAGTCATCCTGTGATTAATTGTCAATCATCCACTTGTCTTTTGACTTTTTTTTTTATTTCTTTTTTTTTTGTCATCGATAATCAGAGAGACCTTGGAATTTTGAAGAGATCGAAATCGAATCGATGATAGGACAAGATAGTTTCATTTTTATTTAGATACAAGTTTTGGATCGCAGTATGGTCATTTATTCTTGTCATCTTGACCATTTGGTAATTAAAATTACCTTGAAGAGAGTAAGATTGAAATTTGATTGAAAAGTTTGCTAATATAATACAAAAGTAAAGATAAGTCATACATGAGTATGAGTATTGGTATGTCGTGTATATTGTTTGTAAAACACTGAACGTTTTCTAATTCGTCTTCTTCCTTCTCGTACGACCTTCCTAAAGGTAATAAAAAATTAAAAAAAAATTGTCTTTTAATATGTCACCTAATGTTTCGTTTTTAGTTACGACACGAGGTGTGCACCGAAATAGAAAGATTTAAAACGCTAATGATAACGCTTTTGCTATTAACACGTGGCAACATTTTACGAATCGTCATCTCTAACATTAAATTTTATTTCAAGAAAAGAGAAATAAAAAAAACATCGAGAATTTATTAATAATTTAATATGCATTTCTTTTTTTTTCGAGAGAGATATATATATATATATATATATATGTGTGTATGTGTGTGTTTTTTTTTATTTGATTTTAAAAGTTAACTATTAAGTTAGATTGAATGTTTTAAAATTGGAAAATAATTATAATATAACGAAAATATTCATATTTTAATGAAAGTAGTTTTAATTTTGTATATTTGTATATCAAAAAATACAAATTGTAATTGTAATGGCATTTAATGCAATATACCTTGTGTTATAATGCATTAAAAAGAAAAAAAAAATTGTAGATAAAACAGAAAAATGAAATCTATGAATCAAAGATGTCATATTGTTTTATTGTTTTTTTTTTTTTCCTTATCACGTTGAAGAGCTTTAGTTTGAATATTGACAAAAGAAATAAAAAAAAAAGAGGGGGGCAAGATAATAATTATCTTATTAATCGTGATATACGGAAGACACTTTTTTTTTTTTTTTCGTCTCGACCAATGAAAATCGAGATCGTGGGATCTCGTTTGAGGTGTGTTCTGCATAGAATACCACGAGAAGTACAACTGTGCAAATACAATTTCAAGATATTGATATTGAAATGTTCGTTGTACGGTTATTTATCATTTATGCCTATCATTCTTATCATTTTTTATGTTTCTCCAAAAGAAATATACTGTTACTAAACACAAGTCCGACAATTCCTTTTTTATTTTTTTCAAGAACGTTTTTGTACTAGAAAAGTATTGTCATCTTCGAAATTGAAAGTTTTTTTTTTTTTAAAGAATATTCACTACTTTACTCGGGACAGAACGTAGGACATGCGCATAGCACGAAATAATCTTTACACCTGTTGAATAACGACACCTCTTTGTAGAAAGAGAGACAGAGATAGAAGAAGAAGAATAAGAAGAAGAAAAAGAAGAAGAAGAAGAAGAAGAGCTATTACATACTTCCTGCTTCGTTCTCTATTTTTTCTTCTCGTATATTTCTAATATAATTATATATAAGTATATCTAATATAATATCTGTTATATATTAATATAATTTTATATTAATATTTGGCAAAGATAAAAATAAAATTTCAATGAAATTATTGTATTTAATATATCTAATATATATATATATATATATTTATATAATAAGTACTTAAAGTATATAAAGTAAACTATCACACTCTCTCTCTGTCATCGATTGTAAGGGATAATAACGAGCTTGTAAACACTTATCCAAGCTAACGTAAATCAACGTTAGCATGTAATATTATAGTATGTAATAGTAGCTATGAGATACTAAAAGCTGAGAGGCATGTAATAATCGGTAACATCTATTCACGCGTATTGATTGGATTTTCTAACGTGTGTGAAGAAAGATCGTCTCTCTCTCTTTCTCTCTCTCTCTTTGAATACTTGCGAGTCATGTCTTTTTTTTTGCTTTCTTTTCAATCCTTGTTTCAACCCTTTGAATGAAATCCATTTGCGAAAGTTTCATCATATTTTCTTATATAAATTCAGTCACACGTATTTCGATAGATTTGATTTCATTTGATTTATTTTTCAATGATTTTTTTTTTCTTTTTTTTTTCTTTTTTATGTTAGAAATAATACGTGAAACTTTGAACAGGAA